TAACTTCTTCCCATTCATTAAATTATATCGACTTACAAGGGCGCGGACTCTTATCGTGGCTACAATATTAAAATACCTCCGTTTTTTGCTATCATTTGTTGTGGCATGACACCGCCTTTATTGTGAGTTAAATGCGTTTTTGTTTGACACTTTGATAACCTAAATATTATCAACTGCGCAAAGACATACCCTGGGTGCCGCACGCGAGCAAAACCTCTCGTACCCAGGGTAGCAAAGACATTCATTCCATCATTTTTCGTATTTATATAGGACTGATGCAACGCAACAAGATGACGAGTCTGGGAGTGGAAGTAACCATCACTAGCCTAATTGCCTTCACTTATGATCACTGCGACAGAGGAAAACGTTACAATTAACATTCGAGAATAGTTTAGGCCCTAACCTATTTATATGGGTAATGGCTATGTTTTTTAATCGCGTTTTTCAGCAGGAACAATTTGACCACTTTCTATGATTTTTGGCATCATTAATAAAGAATAGTGAAATTTGAAGAACATGTTATTTATTTTCTTATAAGTATGAAAACCTTTGAGATATTAGCATATATTTAAATCTGCTTTTTTACGAAACATGCAAATGATAACTCCTACGACAGATTTTCCCCTAACTTCAGCAAATAAGCCTCTGAGCTTCTAGTTTTATACCTGCAAGTTTGAGGTCATGACCGATCGTTCCATACACTTCGCTGCACAAAATGCTGGTCAAATTTAACCTTAAAATGCTACGCTAACATTTTTTTTTTACGAAAGTTGACGCACAAAAAGAACAAGAGTGCCGAAGGACTATCTGCTATCTGAAATGATATTCTTACCCAAAGCTTTTTATAACATAACAAAAGTAAAGCACGAGCTCTGATTGGTCAGTTAGCCATCTACCATTTGCAAGTTGGTGCACGCCAAGAAACTGAGCTAGCGCGGTAAAATTGAGGCAAATTCAGTAAATCCCCTCTCCTGTCAGTTTAAAATGCATCGATGAAATGTGCAAATGAAACGGTGGAAATTGAAGAAAATAATTAGTTGTCGATTTGAAGAAAATTAAAGTCAAAAGATCAAGCGACAAATTTGTCCTGGAGATATTTATCACTGTCTTCTTCGCGGCTAGGAGCTCAGAAGAAAAACCGATTGAGCAAATATTTAAGCTCGACATTTTAAGGTACATTTTATGTATTTTAATAGAAGAGAACGTCTGTATGGAAATGAAAGTTTATCAGTTAGCATTGTGTTATTGTCGTTTACAATGTAAATCAAGTTGACGTTAAATTCAAGCAAATTTTTTAGGAAACGCGCTCAGATTGTATAGCTTTCATCGCATCGTGCTTAGCAACCTCCTGCGTACATACATAACTCGATAATCGCACGTTTCAAGTTTACCATTTCTTAATATTGCAAGAAACTGAGTAATCAGAAACGCAGACTGCGGAGTACTGTTTTCACTGATGCAATTAAGAACGTGACAACAATAGTCCCTTTGTTTCCTAACCCTGAAAACAATAATCCACAGTCAGTCCGCAGTCTACATTTCATCTGTCCCATCAGAAAACTCCGGCGAAAACAGTTAGCACTACAAGAACAACTTTATTCTGAATGCGCTGTGAGATTAAAGAACTTCCATTTATCAAAGTTGCTGTGTATTTGCCCTCTTCTTTTCGAAAAAGATCTAAAAAAAAAAGCAAAATATTGCATCTACGGAGATCTCCTTCCAGTTTTTAGCACCGAAAGTTCCCGTTTTGAGGAGAAATAAAGCCGCCAACTCCAGTACTTCGAACCATTCATTTTTCAGCTGCAATAAAAACCCTTGTATTTGTTAATCTATTCAATTTAGACGGGAAGTTTGCCACTTGGGGGTAAAGATGAATTAAAATTTGACGATCGTCTTATTCTTCCCATCATGCCAAACAGCAAACTGCCCTTGCGAATTTGATGACAACTCTAAAAAGTTTAAATAAACTACCAAGTACAAGCACAGGAAACCCAGGCTCCGTGATAGTACCACAACACGGTTCCAGTAAAATTACAGTGTTTGTCTGGGGTAAAAATACAATCCTAAAATTTGTAGGAAATACTAAATAAAGGTTAATGAAACTTACTGTGCAGTTAGTTGTTGTTTTCCTTAATGCTCAAACGAATTTTTCGTGATAATTTGCTCCAATTCACCCTCTATACAATATAATACACAAGTTAGGAGGCACGAGATGGCATCTCGGCCGCCATGCAACCATAAGGCTTAAAAGAAATTCACTTTTATCCCACAACTGATCACTACCGCACCACGACTCTTAAAATAATGTAATATTCATTGATGCTGTCAGTATGGTTTTGTCATTCTATTTGGTTATAGTGCAGAGGAAAAATAGAATCCAATCATTTCTAATGTCAAATGTCGCAGGGAATATTCTGCATTTGTCGGTGAACTGACACCAGATCTTAGGCGGCCAAACGCGACGGATTATTATAATCTCTAATACTCTCTTTACATAAGTACTTTAAGCAACGACTACACATTTTTGTCAGGCCTTTGTTGTAAGTTCTACTCACCAGTTCTACTCACCAAGCCCAACCCAGCGTCCTCCTTCTACTTTTATAAAAGCTGACAGGGATATACAGCTCCATTACGTGCAAATAGCGTGGTTTTTCGATAAATTCCAATTCGACTGTAGTGAAAATACTGCAAACAGATCCTGGTACGGGTAAACCTACAATACTTCAAGTCGTGAAAATGATCGCCTCTGCTTCGTATGTCTTAGTTATAGTAACATGTACTGTCAACGCTATTATGTCACCAGCAGTGGTTGGAAATGCTCTGATTTTGATGGCAATTTGGAAGAACCAGTCACTCCGAACTACTTCTTACATTCTTCTTGGTGGATTGGCGATCACTGACCTTCTCACTGGGCTCATAGTACTGCCATTTCTAGTCGTTGTTGGCTTGTTAGCTTAATTGGTAGAGCGCTGCACCGGTATCGCAGAGGTCAAGGGTTCGAATCCCATACAAGCCTGAATTTATTAATAGTAATTTATTAATATTTTTTTTTTATTTTTTTTTTCAGGCTTTCTTTTCGCAACTGCAAAAGTTGCGTATATAACTGCGATGATCATTCTTCATTAAATTATTCACTCCGCAGTTCACATATATGATTTTCATATATTAACAACTTCATCATAAATATTCCGTTCCGACGAAAAACAAATTTACGCCAACCAACCCATAATTTTGGTCAACCAGCAATCAGTCCACATTGCTAAGTACGAGAAATTTGTGATAGCAATTCTCTATAGTTTGAGATTCTTTGCTGTGTTATCTCTAATCTGCTGGTCACCGTCTTTCTCATTTTCATTTTCATTTACTTCAAACTTCAGAAAATCATCTGTTATTTAAACTTATTAAAAGAGAAAATTAAGTTTTTGGTCTGCGAACAGTAGAGGGACGACTCGAGTGTTCTTACTTGTGCGCGCTAATTTGCGCGTGCAATTATTCTTTACAAAAAAATGTCTTCTCCGAATAAGTACAGCAGCTTTCCTTCTAAACATACTTTCTCTCAGTATTGAGAGTTAAAACGTCTTCGAAATGAATTAAAAACAACGGTTTTTTCTCACACTGAAGAAAGGTCATAAACCCGAAACGTTTGTGTTTTTTGAAAACATCTGACACTTTTTGATATTTCTTTACCAAGTATCACCTTATCAGCTATTCCAGGAGAAATTGGCGACGCTGGCGATCTGCTTTGAGCGCCCCCTATACTAACCACACTAGAACTGACTAACACGTTGAAAATGTTAAAATGAATATTGGCTTATGCTTCAGCTGTGCTTAATATTTGGACATGTGACGCACTTGGGAAGCTTTGAGATCACTCAAAAGGCTAGGGGGACCTCCTCTCCTTGACTATACATAACCTAGGCTTAAACCAATTGTTAACTAGAGGACCACTAAAGTCTCGCTTCTCATTACCCCAGGGATTATTGGAGTTTCAACTTTTGTCCCCATTCTCTCTTTTGGAGATCATTATTTCTCCAACCCCTCCACTTTGGGTCAGTTACTGATATTTGGAAAAGGGAATTTCATCAAATGACATCATAAAGTGACACGGACTTACAAGGTTGTCTGATATACTTTATTTAATTATTTTTTTATTCACTAAAACAGATTTATAAATGTGTAAGAGATGGTATGAGCTTACAAAGTGAGAATACGGTACACGCAGGATAGATACACCATTACTGAGGCATGATGCAAACATTACAAAGGATGAACTGTCCCGTTGTACGTACGTGCAGACTTGCGGTCTCGATTTATCGAGTTCCTTGCATGGGGAGTCTGTTGTATGGTACACAAGGTCAAGCCCATACCTTGAAAAAACTTTGAAACTGCTAGATTGCTTTTGTTGTTGTCATTGTTGTTGTTGTGATCGTGGTTTTCCCTGGATCAAAGCTTCTATGTCATCCTAATCAAAGATTTTATGTTGGTAATGCACTGTTTTCGTATAAGCGAATTGCACATACCGATATTGTCTCCCCAATACTACACGAACGGAAGAGTAAAATGCAGTATACTCACTATGTATTTAACTGGCCTTCCTGTAGCCTACTAGGTACTCTTGGCGACGTCTTGGGAGCCTATGGTAAATATATCTGGGTGAACGATATACCCGTGAATTTCGATTCCGCAAATCTTTTGATAGTGTTTTATTCATTGCCATCGTTGAATGACACTTCTCGATTATTTTTCAGTGCAAAAGCTGCAACTACATCTAAATTTAAGTAGATTCATCGATATCCCCAATGCCGGTGGATAGCGTGCTCAGTACATTTAACTTGTTTCTCAGATGAGCCACATTAACGAACCAAAACAAAGAAGCTGGAATGAGTGATAGTGTTGTGTTTCGTTCTCATGGTTTATGACAGAACAGTCTGCATCTGCGTATAGCATACCATGAACCGACTCTGTAAGCCTTCACTTTTTCTCTTTACTGACTATAGCAGTTAATGTTTTCTACCCAGTGGAGAGTTTACGATTTTCAAGCGAGGAATTCCACCTCGACGGGATGGTGTATGTTCTGGAAACAAATATGAAAAACAAAGTTATTTTCACTGAGTTGATGCCAAAATGAAAATGAACCTTTATACCATAAATTTGACTATAAGCAGTAATTAAAGAGGCAATGGTTTCAAACGTAACTCGTCGGGATTGCCGCCCTTCCCAATTTAAAGATAAAAAGAGCACGATTCTCCAGACCACAATGTAACCCCCGGTCGGTTGTTAACTTATCACTCGTTTCTTTGTGATTTTACCGCAGGTTCGAAATTAAGTCAATCCCTCATGAAGTCGCGGTTTCGATTCCCGGGGCCAGACCCATACTCAGGGTCTTAAAATAACTGAGAAATGAAGGTACTCCCTTTGCACTGCAAGCGGCTAGTCCTTCCGTGGCTCGGATGACCACGAAAAATGGCGGTTCCGTCTCCGGTAGGAGAGGTAAAAATAGTGTCCCCAATTAGTAATTTCGTGCTAAATACGTTGACACTCAAATAATGTGCATTTTGGAGCCACGTCATACACAATACAAGATCAATCAAAATCAAGATTGCTAGATGCTGACCGTCTCCGTCCGTCAATAACAATGCTAAAAAAAAAAAAAAACGATCCTGAATATCCAGTCATCTTGACAGAACAAGCTTGGCCAATAAAAGATGATTATATGATAAAAAAGACTTCTTTTTCTTAGGGGTCAATGCCGGAAATCCCTAGCGGGCAAGGTACAGCCATTCTGTCCGTTCGGGTAGCCAATCAGAACACAGGATTCGCTTTATCCTGTCCACACATAACAAACAACTTACTTGTGAACTTATAAACCTCCATACTCCAGGGACCTCCTCGTCCATCCGCCTGACACGCGCTAGAGGCCCCATACATGTTGTATGTCTGTAGAATATCCTTCCCACCTAAACATTGACCACCATTTTCTAAGGCAAAGGCTGGAAATCCTTGAACTCTGGCTATTGTGGCGCATTTCTTTATCGGAAGTTTTCGGGCTTTGTAATCGTTTCCATCCAACATTGGAAATATTCCCTCCAGGCTTGGTAAAGCCCTCTCAGGCTGGTCTCTCCAGCAACCGATACTAAAATAACCTGGCAAGAAAAAAAGATGCTCAGCTTTATTTTGACTAAAAGCTTTAAGTAATCGGTTGTTCGACTGTTTTACGACAAAATACTGAGTATATCTGAAAATTTTTGCAAAGTTCACCCATTTTGGGATTTTTACAGTGGAAGCTTTTTTCTGGATTAGCTTACGAGTAAATTGCACTTTAAAGAAATATACATGGCGGACACACTTTTTCCTCCTGCTTTCAGATAACGATACACTGCTACAAGTACCTGAAAAATCGTTTACTTAGATATCAAAGGCTGTGCCTCAACAACCACACCGAAAGCATATATACTTTTGATCTTTAGAAAAGATGTTAGTTTGAGGATAAATTTAACTTTACACGTAGCTCGTCAAATTTGACCCTAAACTAACAGAAATTAAAGGTGGTCGAGCAGTTCACACCCAGAACTCAAGTACTAACGTTGTGTTATTTCCCCACATTTGAAACTTTGCTTGACATATTCGCCCTTCACCTGCAGTACAGCGAACACCGCTGAGGGTTACCCTGCCATGTCATCGCATCCCATCCAGAGAGTGTGGTAATATTCTTGGGTGTTTTATCTTAAAGAATTCGGGTTCAGCTCCGTCGAGTGGACCTTTCTGCCAATGTGCGCCTTAACGTTTACCAATAGAAATAGCCCTTAAACTGACTTCGTTTAATGTTTTATAACCCAGTTTCCATACTCATAAAAAAATACAACCCTGGTGATGCCCATTATTCCATTATTTCACAGACATTTGTCACACAAAATACTACAGAATAACTATATCTTATTGCAAGTTAAAAGTGTTGAAAATTTTGCTCGATACTGACCTGGAGGGTGAAAAATTCTTCTTGATCCATCTGTCAGAGATAAACAAGCCTTTGTTACGATTCTAGGTCCCTTCTTAGCTACAATTACCATGTAGGGCTATAGCTTTAATCTGAACTGTCCCAGAGCTGCTTCGTTCCAGAACATCCTTTTGATTGAAAGTTTCTCCAATAACATTATAAGTTGGAGCTTCCTTTGTGCTTCGACATAAAGATATTTTTACATCACGATACCTTTCCGAAAGTTATATATTGGGGATTTACTAATCTGGCAAACTTAGGTAGTCGAGGGGTAATTAGCTCCGGGTCGCACTAGTTTTACGAAGAGACAATGTACTCGTATGGTTGGATAAAATTGGCCACTATTGTGACGTATTTATTAATATAACAGTAAAAAGTCACGCCACGGTTAACAAACTAATCAGAGCGTGACGTGACATGGAAAAAATTAAGTAATTGAATGTCTCTTCGGAAAAGGTGGGGAAGAAATAAGCGCCTTCCGAGAGAGAACTAAANACAAGTATGAACGGGAAGCCCGCCAAAATCCCCGATGCGTCCAATATATGGCAAAGGGGAGCGGTTCTAAGACCCCTTGAAGGTACTGCGCCAGGATTTGTACGTTTGCATTGAACGCCCCAACCGGGTGCCTTTTAACGGTTTGACCGACACAAACTAAGCGAACCCCGTACTCATTATGAAGTAAACAGACCAAATCCTCGATGGCAGAGCCAACAGATGCTGGAGAGGACCGACGGCGTGTGAGGTCGTTAGTACCGATTTGTAAAATTACAACATCAGGTTTAAAACGTGCTACTTCGGTTAAATCAAACCGCCTAACCTTATCGATTGTTCGACCCCCAACGCCATGCCAATGAATTGTAACCGGGGTTTTAATGTTTAAATTAAGGTTATATGTGGGACTATTCCTAATAATAAAATCCCGGAGCCTACGTATAAAGGAGTGACCCAAAATCAGAACCCTCGGCTGTTCCATGCAGACAAAAAAGAAAAACGCAAAAGAACTTGCCTGAAAAATTTGAACAGATAACTTGCCACACGATGGTGTAGAGGTAGAAAGGGGCCCTCGTATTTGCGCAACGTACTATAAAGCAATCCTCGATCACATGTTCCCTAGTACCCAGTTCACGCAGCCAGTGCCTGATAACAACAGGTATCCCGACGCAAAAATGTAATTATGTTTGGGACATAATTTCTTGTTTTTTTAGCAGTATTTAATTTTTGCCATGAGGAGTTACAACCGAAAATAAAATGCCGTCCTTGTGTCCTAGTTAACTGCTGCAGTTTGCGGTCGGATTCGCTCTCTGTATTGTGACCAAATCCTTATTTTCAGACAACTGTATAATTACAGCGTACCTTTTTTTTGGTGGGGGGGGGGGAGGGGGGTAGAGCGGGGGTGGTCGGATTTCTTTATACTTTTTCAAACCCCCAAAAACCAAGTGCCACGAGAATGTTTTAACGTGTATAGGTATAAAGGGAAAGTATTCTCTTACTGAGTGGTCGAGAGGGATGGAATTTCCTATCTCTTGAATTATCCACAGGCGCTGAAATATAATAGAAAATTCCTTTTATCAATTCCAAGACAAAAAGAAGATCACCCTGGGTATGGAATTTATCTAAAAAAAAACAGTATTCTTAAAACTATTGTTTATTTTAATTTGTTGACCTTAGTTTTTTAGCCGGATAGCCATCATTTTGCATCGGTTTATTGGACCTCACTGGGATATCATTGGTCAACTTCTTTAATGGAACTTTTTTAAGCATTTTCTCAGTTTGAAATTACTTGCTTATAAATGTGATATCAGTAACTTCTCAGTAATACAAACTTCGAAGCGCTTGATCAACCTTTAGTTAGGTTTTTTAGCCTGTGTTTTTTATTTCCTTCTCTATTTATTTTAACCTTTTGATCAAAACGTTTTTCCGGGTAAACGGAGAACTGCGAAGCAAATTTACCTTTCGTAAACGGTCGCTGCCATTTTTAACAAACAGATCGCAACCAATGATCGAACCCGGACCTTTCGTATCGTAATTTCTCTCCCTTACCACTACACTACCATACCGAGCCGCTTAAATTTGGGAAAAATGTAAGTATATAAACTAGCAAACGTTTTTTCTTACTGACACATCAGTAGCAGGCGACCCTACTAGCCCTTTCCAAAACTTTTAACGTAAATTCAACTTGGGCTTCAACGTCCTGCTTTCTTACTAAGACCAGTCACAAATGTATTATCCAGTGCCTTATTGTAAGTCATTATTCATTCGAAATATTTCCCCAATTTTGATTGGCTAAAAGCACACGCATAATTCACCATAACCAGTTACTGATGACCAAATTTGGAAGAATTTTGTGTTTAACACGGAAATGACGTCAAAAATGCAGCCCTCTACAGGTTAAGGCACCGTTAACCGAGGAGACCTGGGGACGAGGCTGAGTTGTTTTAGTTGTGAAAAAAATGGCGGACATTTCACTCGTTTCAAGAGTAAGAACTACAATTGGAACTAGGCGAAATAATAACTAAAAACATAGCAAAAACAGCAAGAAGAAAACTCGGAGGGCGACATCTGCTATTTGGCAATATTTGCGGAGCTGGACAAACCTAGCCGTACAGTATCGAAGATGAATTTAACATCGATGCAGGTAAGCATGTTTCAGCTATATTTTTAAACTAGGAATTATTTTGAATGAATAATAAAGCAATTAATGAATTCGGCTTTCGTAGGATATGAAGAATTAAGCAGATCGAGGAGGGTGTTATCCACCACGGCCTTCGGCCTCCGTAGATAACACCCTCCTCGATCTGCTTAATTCTTCATATCCTACTCAGCCTCATTCATTAATTGCTCATTAATCCAGGGGATATATTACATCTATTATGAGTTCATGCCTATAAAGGCTTTGTTCCATCGACCGTTAAAAATAGAAACGACCGTTTATGAAAGGGAAACCGGCAACAGCGAACGAGCACCGGAAATAGGAAATTCCCGTTTCCCATTACATCATTGCATCGATTAAGAGAACAAGACTCTTAAATTCAACACTTTTTGGGGCCCGATTATGTATTATCAGCCCTACTGCTAATTGGTTAAATCTGATAAATTTTAACTAATCAATCATGCGCCTTTGAAATTGGCGTAAATAGGCGATGCCGCAAGTTTTGAAGTACAACATTTTGCTCTTGATGGTTAAAACTTTCGTTACCGAAAAAAGTCTGCTACGACAACTTCAAATTGAAGAAATTTGCTGTCAAACCAGGATTTAGCAACTAAGGTAACAAAAATAAAGTTGGAAGCAAACCTTAGGACACTTAAGTGCTCTAATTACCTTTCTTGTAACGCGCGATATAAGTTAGATATACCTGGTAATATTTGTGCCAAGTTGTTCAGCTGAAGTGGATTAAGTAGGCGCTGGCCTCCTGGTGTTTTTATTACTTTTGGTCTTAAAGGTACACTCAAGTGTGGAGCTGCAAGGAAATTAAAACACATCTTTAACATGTGGAGATTTAGAGGTAGTGGACGCGGGCTGATTAGATTGAGCTAACTACGTTAACAACTGATCAACAGGCACAGAAAACCAAGCGATATATTTTCCCGCCATTTTTCACTTTTGCCGTTTGTCGTTGCTGTTTTCTGAACGTGAAGAAGTTGGTTTTCACGTTCTCAAAAGTACTTCAGTGAAAATTGGTTTGTTTATATACCGTTGTTGCACGTGTTAGGGATTGCGTGTTTCGATATAATGTTATAATAAAATGGTTTTGTGAGTGTGTTCGCACTTTCCGATGACAGAAATCCAGACTGATGGCAGACGGCAACAGCAAGTGGCTGTAATTTTGGTCCTTACTGACTCTGTTATACTTAACAAAAGGGAAAGTTGTCTCTTTCCAGCACGGAATAATTCCAGCTACATTTTTAGAAAATGAGCACACAACAATTATAACTTTTTCATGGGATATTATTCCTTTTCCTTTTTGTTGTCAATTCTCCTCACGACGAACGTTTAAGTCGAAAGATATGAAAATGTCACGTTATTTTAATTAGCTCTTGCTTGGTCCAGCTTAAATATAAAAAAAAAACTATTCGGCAAAAAAGAGCGTCGATCTTATAAGCTTTCTCAAATCCCTTTTTATCATTAGGTTTTCTTGATTAGATAATTTTCTGATGCCTACTTGGACTCATGCGATATCCATTCCTTCGTGGGGCAATTTGTGCCCCAAACACATGCATGCGGATGTCTGCTTTGGAACCTTCAGTAATAAGATTAGCAGTCAGTCAGTCTTGATGAATTCTTTTCCACCCGTATGGAAAGTAGTATATATCGTGTTGCTGTATAGCACACTTTTCCTTCTCCCTGCCAACACGATTTACTATTACAAAGATCCTGAACTAACTATTCTTGTTATTTTTAATCTAAAGAAAACGCAACATGTACCATGGCAACGTATTTCTTCCGGCGAATATGTTCGACGAGGGGAAGAGAAAAGGCTAAGTAGAGTCAATAAAGTGGGGGCTGTGAATTATTTCTTTTAATGAATAAACCGTGACAGTCTTGTCCGTTTCAGTTTTGTTGCTCATTTAGCAAAATTTCGGCGGGGAAACTCAGTTTTCGGAACAGCAAGCATTTTTGTCAGCGTAATTTTTTGCATCAAAAGATTCATGATGTTTTATTTTGTTAAAAAATTTATTGAAATTCAGTTAAGTTGATAAACTAACTTGATTTGTTTTGTGGCGAGAACCCTACCTTTATACAACTGTAGCTTTTTCTTAATTTTAACCTTTCTTTGAAAATAAGTATACCAGGTTGCTTAACTGATTTAACATTATGCCTAAAAACGTTTTACTTACTTGTACTTTGATTTGGAGATACTTCTACCGGTTCTGCAAATTAAGTGACAGTTGATTGAGAAAGAACGAAATTTTGTAAAGGTTGCGTTTAGAGATAATCAGAACATCGGGACCCAAAGTAGGTCTGTAAACTTGAATCCACTACAAGGTTATTTTCTCTTGTTTGTCGCACTCCCTGTGACACAACCTATAAACTGCATTGAACAAGAACTGGTCACCTCCTCGTGAAGCATAAGCTTTTGATTACTTCGCGGGATCGTTATCTAGTGATTATTAGGCCGTCGTCCCGGGAGCTTACAGCTCATTTCCCCTGTCCTGAGGATTTATTTCTTTATTTTTTTCACGTGTTTTCCAAATCCTTCTCACGTGGGAACGTCAAACTTCATTAATTGATAATGATTCCGCGACAGAAGATACAGGCAAGATCAAGGATACACTAATGCTATACTACTTACCTGGAATCTTAATTTTTAGTCCTGGATTCAGCCTATTCTGTTTAGCTGTGGAATTGAAATTTAAAAAAATAGCACCTTTGCGGACTCCTTGGTCATAACAATAGTACTAAGGTCTGTACAGCTAATATTATAATGACCAAGGGCTTTATGTATTTACCTGGAATTTCTATATCTTATCCTGGTTTCAGTGTATTTGGTGAGACTTCCAGCAAGAAAAAAAGCGAAGTTGATGAAAATGGGGATGGTATTGGTAATGTTTATACTAAAATTAATAGTAATGCTAATAGGAATGGTGAGAGTAACGGGAACCACATTAGTGGTTAGAATGCTTATGAATTGCTGTTACTGACGATGACAATAATAATACCAGCGGTAATGTCGATGGGAATGCGAATGCTAAGTAAATGGTATTGTTATATTCCTAGACTTTCAGTCAACTAAATAGGGACTGCCATCATTTTGATTCTTGGTCACGTGGCGTTGACTAAAATCAAATGTATCCCGATCGTGATACATTAAGGATTGTTATATTTATAGACTTTCACTCAACTAAACAGGGACAGCCATTGGCTGATTCTTGGTCACGTGGCCTTGACTAAAATCAAATGTAACCCGATCGTGATACATCAAGCAATGTACCCCGCTCGGGATACATTACAGCACGTGATCAAAGCATGGTGAAAAGTGGCGTGACAGAAGGCGGGAAAAACACTACCAGTTTTCTTTTTCGTGAATGAACACAACAATATTCACAACCGAACACAAACATGAAGCCTCAAGCTAAAAAGCAATGATTTTCAAAGTTATCCCAGAAGAGAAGCAGCAGCTAGTGGAGGAAAAAGATGCAGATAATATAAGGAAAGTACTTTTTAAATCATTCATTCATTCAGTGGTTTTGAGAATTAAATTTGTGTTCTTATAAGCACCGAGTCGTACTGTTTTGATTCGCTCCCCTTATGCGTATCTTTTGCTGCTGTTGAAGTACGTTGAAGTGAAAGTCTACAAATATAACAAAACACTTAATGTCAGGTCCCTCGGGAAACCAGTTAGTTTTGTTTTCCCTCGAGTCCTGATGTTTCCCGGGACGAAACAAAACTAACTGTTTCCCTCGGGATCTGACATTAAGTGTATAATGTACCCCGCTCGGGCTACATTACAGCACGTGATCAAAGCATGGTGGAACGTGGTGTGACTGAAGGCGGGAAAAAACATTGCCAGGTTTCTTTTTCGTGAATGCACACAACAACTTGAACACAAACACGAAGCCTCAAGCTAAAAAGCAACAATTTTTAAAGTCATCCCAGAAGAGAAACAGCAGCTAGTGGAGGAAAAAGATACAGATAATATAAGGAAAGTACTTTGTAAATGATTCATTCAGTGGTTTTAAGAATTAAATTTGTGTTGTTATAAGCACCGAGTCGACTGTTTTGGTTCGCTTCGGTTATTCGTTTGTTGCTGTTGAAGTCAAGTCTAGAAATATAACAAAACACTTAATGTCAGATCCCTTGGGAAACCAGTTAGTTTTGTTTTCCCTCGAGTCCTGGTGTTTCCCTCGACATCGTCTCGGGAAACATCAGGACTCTCGGGAAGACAAAACTAACTGTTTCCCTCGGGATCGGACATTAAGTGTATATTAGCCATGGTATTGGCATTGCATATGCATTATTCCAACTAATGTTAATGCTAACGCCAATACGTTTGAATTAGTGTCACTGGTGATTGTAAAGATAATGGCAATCACAATAGAAACAGTTCGCTGATAATACATACAAAGAAATGGCAATGTGCATATCATGGGAAAGGTATTGGCTTAAGTTGTCATGGTGCGATTATGATAATGGTTTCGGTTACGGCAGTGCCATTAGTAGAGAAAAATGCAATGGCGATAGAAATGGAAAAATCAGGTGTTAGTACGGGCATACATGTACATGCCCTTCAAAATTGTGTATAGCGGTGATTCTCTGGAACAAGTAGCATCGTGATGGGTATGGTTATGACTATGATTAGAGTACAGATGATAATCAGTATTACAAAAACAGCTGTAAAATAGAGCATATGGTAAACCCAGCCGATCAGAACACCAGAAGAGACTTTTCATCCCTCATATCGACGCTTGTGTTTCTAAACGTCTACAAAAAATTCACGAGAAAGAGAAACTGAACTGGTTGAGGTCATGGCCTAATAGACCTTGTCACGGTTTTCGACGCCATCTTGACAATTAAGTAGGCAAACGCGTGAGAAATTACAGTGTTTGTCAGTGAGAATCTAATGTAGAACAACTTCAGTAAAATGGCTGTTCTGAAAAAAAGTTTGACTTGTAAACTAAAGCTACAAAACAAAGGATTGTGCTAAAAATTTGGGGGGCGTACCTGTGCTTAAATTTCTTCAGAGGCTTGCTTTAGATTTTGCATATATTTGTCTGTAATTTTTCCCGGGACTTTCTTACAGATAAATGTATAGAAAATTTTAAAAAGTGGTTCTGGGTCTTCTAGCGCATGTAACGCCCTCAATATTTTCAGTAGAATCCTTAGGAATTAAGCTTTAGTTTACAATTCATATTTTTTTCAGAACAGCCGTTCTACGGAAATTATTCTACATTAGATTCTCATACAAATACTGTCAGTAATTTCTCACGCGTTTGCCTACTCGTCAAGATGGCGTCGAAAACCGTGACAAGGTCTATTAGGTAACCATGCGAGAGCAAAAATAACAAGCGGGGAAGAAGTAAACTAACCTCTTTTCAACTTCAGTGAATGTTTTAAAAAAATATATTTCCTTTCGAACTTAAATGGCATTCTCTCCCTCGTAAGAAGTAGAGTTTGTGAAATGAGCTTAAAACCTTTCACAGGGAGCTTAGAGTGTTACACAATACCTTTGTCTTTAATGTTTGTCATAAAATTCACTTCCTGTTCAGCCTGTTTTTCAAGTTCTGTGAGTGAATTTGTATCGTCCTGGATGGGCTCCTTCTTTTGAGCTTTCTGAGTTGTTGGAGCAGCCGGTTTAAGAGCAAGAGGCCTGGAACGAGTAGGGCCATTAGAGGCGGGTCCGGAGGTTGGTTTGTTTGACTCAATAAGGGCCAGCAAGTCCGTACCCAGGTCCTCCAGGCCACTTGTCTTTCCTGATTCAGGAACATTATGAATGAATATCAGTTTCTTGACACCTGTCGTTAAAAGGGATAAAATAAAAATTTATTTTAAACTTTAACATTTTATTGGTCTTTTAAAAATAAATTAGAATTAGGTAGTGTTTATCTTTGTACCATCTCTTTTTATCTTCTTTAATTAATTGGACAATATTATTTTGTGAGTGATAAGGTAGTGTCAATAAATAATAGTGGAAACGATTTTCCTTCGTGATAATGACACTTGAAGTTTTATTGTTGTTGTTATTATTATTATTATTATTATTATTATTATTATTATTATTATTATTAAGGAAAGAAATAATGTAAATAGTGCTTTGACGGAATAGTGAAATTAATTGTAAATAGGATTTTTTTTATAGTTAGCTTTGTTATCAATAAAAGATTTGGGTTATTTATTATTATTATTATCTTTATTGTCATTATCATTATTGTTGTTGGTGGCTTCTGCATGCTGCATTATAATCTCTAACCGTATAACTAAGGAAAGGTATTTTATCGCGCAGTCTCCGATATTTTCTCACGACTTACAAAAAAAGGAATACAATGTAAACCAATTATGTAACCCTATTGTAATGATAAAACAGTAGCAAGCTAAAAATCAAGCCAATCGTTTATCTTATCACACAAATGTTCTCTCCTTGTCTAAAAACCAGTTAAAACTTCGGCCACCAATTCAGTCTAAAGATGAGGTCTTTAAAAAATCAAAACATTAAGAACGCGTGATAACAAATCATTTGTCTTTTTGTTTCGTTTTGTTTTTTTTTGTTTTTTTCAAATGAACCAACCTTTTCTTTTGTCAGCTTTAGCGGCCTCCACTTGAAGTTCCCTGATCGCCTGCTCAGTGGCTTTCTTCAGGTCTTTTAGTGTCTCCATTTCTGATTTTTCCGTTTCTTCCTCATCATCACTATATTTGTATTCAGTTTTTAATCTCCGCAATTTTTCTCGAAGCCTTCTAAGTTTCATTTTCAATTCCTTTGGAGAAATAGGATGTTTTTTTCTCAGGTTAAATGCCAGCATTGTATGCAAATTTTCTGACCCAATTCCCCTCTCCAAAACAAAAGAGAACTTGCTCTCAGGCTTCCTCGCTAGCAGAGGTCTCTCACGGCCAGAGAAGAAGGAGAGGAAAGTGAGAGACCTCGGCCGGCTTTCGACGTGTTTCTTTCATGTAGTCACCGACCACATTTGTGGTAGACAGTTGCTGGTGCCCTGTTGAGACTAAACCTGAAAATTTCTGATCCCACAGTTGTTATCGCGCAAGCCGGTTCTGTAAGTTGTCTCGCATGTGACTAAAATGTTGCTGGTTGTTAAAGAAACGCCAGTACATGTATGTACACGCGTGATAGATAACACATTGTGGGGCCTGCAGAGATCTCTCTCTGTCTGTCATTTTCTCGTGCCGTGATGAGAGACCTTTCTGCTAGCAGGGAACTCTCAGGCTTAACACAAATGATTTAGCAGTTCGAGTGAAGTCACACTTTAAAATTAAAAGGCTTTCAAAATGAAAGTCCTGTTTAAATAGAACTATACAAATAGGTAACCCTCTTTCAACAAATTTAAAACTCTTAAATTTAAAAGTTAAAACCTTAACATTGTAATCCAGCCCAGTTGTTCAAAGGCCGATTAGTGATTAACCCAGAGTTAAATTAACCTGGTTTCTTTTTTTTATGTTCAAAAGCATTTTCTCGGATAATTTTCTCTGTTATTTTTAGAACTTCCAATCATTAACTTGTAAACAAAAAGAATGAAAGCTAAAATGCTTTTTAAGCTTTCAAATCTGAATTTAAACCTCGCACTAACCCTGTTTTATCTTAACCCTTCAGGGAGGAAAAACGTTCTGCGCAAGATTCTGCGCATCCCTTATCGCAGGCTCACGGCGGGCTTTTCTGTGTGTTGACTGGCCGTGTCGACTGTCCTTTGTTTATCAAATGCACGAGGTGCGAACGTTTGCTCCTTGTAGAGGTCTGTAAAGCCTTTTTATTCTTTTTTTTGTTGTTCTTGTTGTTTTTCGTCACTTGAAAATTACTTTGTATTCAGAACAACCAATGTTAAAGGAAGAACGGATCATTCCGTCAGTCTGAGGTGGAATAAACATTTTGAACATTTTCAAAGAGGAGAGTATTTTTCTGATAATTGTGCATTTGAGTTGTGAGTTGATTTTGTGTCCAGTGCTTCGCCTTCCATCGCCGGGCTGAATTAAAACCCGCTTGTATTCTGTTATTAGTAGTTTGATTTACCTTCATTCGATCCTTTTTCTGTTGCTCAAGTAATAATAGTCAGAGGTTTCATTTTTTTTTTCATTTTTTATTTAATAGTTTTGTTTTCTTTCTGTACGCAAATTTTCCTTTTCACCCGCTGTGAAGTAGAGAACGACAACTGCCTGCAATGACTTCAAAACAGTTGTTTGCAAAACAAAGCCTTATGTGCAGTTTTCTGTACTTTCGAATGATTTGGTGTGTTTAATTTGCTTGAATGAAGACCCTCGCATGGACCAGTTATTAAAAATGGCTAAATGGTGAATCACAGCTTGGCTGCGAAGCTTGCAACTGATATTTTGCTTTTAAGATCTTTAGGTAGGTGTTTTCGTACAGAAAATTCATTTCTTCATTGCCATTGTCAGCCAAGAGCCTCTAGCCTTCTGTTTTTTTAAAGATAATTTGTTGTTTTGCAACCTTATCGAACATGATTGAAGCTTTTTTTAAAGTTCACTTAAGCTGAATTTTGTGCATGATGGAATTGTTCTTTGCTTGTCTCATCTCTTTGCGAGCTTAAAGTTTTTGCAACAATGTAACTTTAACTTTGTTTGAAGGAAATCTTACCTACGCGTAGCTAGGTTTTTGACAGGTGTGATGCATGTTTAACTTGACAACACGACAAAGCAAAATTTATCTGCGTGAAACAATCAAGTTTAAAAAACTATAGTTGCTTTGAAACCGATTCTTGGGAAGATTTTACAAGACAAAGATTGACCTATTTCTGCCCACATATCAACGCAATAACTAATCTATATTGAGGATTTTGTTTATATTTTAGTGATCTGCGAAGCTACGAGTGTCCGGTCGAGCGTGGGTTTTAAAATATCAGCTCGAGTGCGACGACAAAGTTAGGTGACTTCAAACACATTGTGGGCAAGTGTTAATTTTTTTGTTGTTTCTGTGTCCACAGTGGAGCTCCGGACCTTATATATCCAGGAACATCCTTATATGAACACATTTTGTGAATGCGTCTTGAAAAAAATCGGACCTACGCATGCACATTTCAAATACAACGCAAGGAAATTAATGTCGTTAAAGTCCGTTTTACTATGAGGTATTCTTCGAGAAAATTAAGTAATGAGAAGGTTATAACCACAGGTTGCAACGTTTGAAGACAAATTGCTTGTTCTTTCCGGGTTATGAGTGAAAACATTTTGCTTTTAGGCAAAAAAATATTTGAAATCTGAAAATTTCTGATCCCACAGTTGTTATCGCGCAAGCCGGTTCTGTAAGTTGTCTCGCATGTGACTAAAATGTTGCTGGTTGTTAAAGAAACGCCAGTACATGTATGTACACGCGTGATAGATAACACATTGTGGGGCCTGCAGAGATCTCTCTCTGTCTGTCATTTTCTCGTGCCGTGATGAGAGACCTTTCTGCTAGCAGGGAACTCTCAGGCTTAACACAAATGATTTAGCAGTTCGAGTGAAGTCACACTTTAAAATTAAAAGGCTTTCAAAATGAAAGTCCTGTTTAAATAGAACTATACAAATAGGTAACCCTCTTTCAACAAATTTAAAACTCTTAAATTTAAAAGTTAAAACCTTAACATTGTAATCCAGCCCAGTTGTTCAAAGGCCGATTAGTGATTAACCCAGAGTTAAATTAACCTGGTTTCTTTTTTTTATGTTCAAAAGCATTTTCTCGGATAATTTTCTCTGTTATTTTTAGAACTTCCAATCATTAACTTGTAAACAAAAAGAATGAAAGCTAAAATGCTTTTTAAGCTTTCAAATCTGAATTTAAACCTCGCACTAACCCTGTTTTATCTTAACCCTTCAGGGAGGAAAAACGTTCTGCGCAAGATTCTGCGCATCCCTTATCGCAGGCTCACGGCGGGCTTTTCTGTGTGTTGACTGGCCGTGTCGACTGTCCTTTGTTTATCAAATGCACGAGGTGCGAACGTTTGCTCCTTGTAGAGGTCTGTAAAGCCTTTTTATTCTTTTTTTTGTTGTTCTTGTTGTTTTTCGTCACTTGAAAATTACTTTGTATTCAGAACAACCAATGTTAAAGGAAGAACGGATCATTCCGTCAGTCTGAGGTGGAATAAACATTTTGAACATTTTCAAAGAGGAGAGTATTTTTCTGATAATTGTGCATTTGAGTTGTGAGTTGATTTTGTGTCCAGTGCTTCGCCTTCCATCGCCGGGCTGAATTAAAACCCGCTTGTATTCTGTTATTAGTAGTTTGATTTACCTTCATTCGATCCTTTTTCTGTTGCTCAAGTAATAATAGTCAGAGGTTTCATTTTTTTTTTCATTTTTTATTTAATAGTTTTGTTTTCTTTCTGTACGCAAATTTTCCTTTTCACCCGCTGTGAAGTAGAGAACGACAACTGCCTGCAATGACTTCAAAACAGTTGTTTGCAAAACAAAGCCTTATGTGCAGTTTTCTGTACTTTCGAATGATTTGGTGTGTTTAATTTGCTTGAATGAAGACCCTCGCATGGACCAGTTATTAAAAATGGCTAAATGGTGAATCACAGCTTGGCTGCGAAGCTTGCAACTGATATTTTGCTTTTAAGATCTTTAGGTAGGTGTTTTCGTACAGAAAATTCATTTCTTCATTGCCATTGTCAGCCAAGAGCCTCTAGCCTTCTGTTTTTTTAAAGATAATTTGTTGTTTTGCAACCTTATCGAACATGATTGAAGCTTTTTTTAAAGTTCACTTAAGCTGAATTTTGTGCATGATGGAATTGTTCTTTGCTTGTCTCATCTCTTTGCGAGCTTAAAGTTTTTGCAACAATGTAACTTTAACTTTGTTTGAAGGAAATCTTACCTACGCGTAGCTAGGTTTTTGACAGGTGTGATGCATGTTTAACTTGACAACACGACAAAGCAAAATTTATCTGCGTGAAACAATCAAGTTTAAAAAACTATAGTTGCTTTGAAACCGATTCTTGGGAAGATTTTACAAGACAAAGATTGACCTATTTCTGCCCACATATCAACGCAATAACTAATCTATATTGAGGATTTTGTTTATATTTTAGTGATCTGCGAAGCTACGAGTGTCCGGTCGAGCGTGGGTTTTAAAATATCAGCTCGAGTGCGACGACAAAGTTAGGTGACTTCAAACACATTGTGGGCAAGTGTTAATTTTTTTGTTGTTTCTGTGTCCACAGTGGAGCTCCGGACCTTATATATCCAGGAACATCCTTATATGAACACATTTTGTGAATGCGTCTTGAAAAAAATCGGACCTACGCATGCACATTTCAAATACAACGCAAGGAAATTAATGTCGTTAAAGTCCGTTTTACTATGAGGTATTCTTCGAGAAAATTAAGTAATGAGAAGGTTATAACCACAGGTTGCAACGTTTGAAGACAAATTGCTTGTTCTTTCCGGGTTATGAGTGAAAACATTTTGCTTTTAGGCAAAAAAATATTTGAAATCCCGCCATTTTTTCAGATCCGGCCAGGGGATCTGGGCAAAAAAGTTCACGCATGCTCATTACGTTTTTCCTCCCTGAATCTTAACCCAGCTTTGAACAACTCGGCCCAGGAAATAGCCGGCACTCGACAGACTCTACAACGGTCGCGTTGGCTACCCGTAAAAAAATTAAATGCCGTTCCATTATATCTCACCTTAAGTTTTATCTGATGTTCTCTATGTGCTTTAAGTTGAACCTTCAATGCCATATCTGCTGGTGAGACGTCGGATGTCGGATAAGATGGTCGTTTTGGCTTGTCACTAGCGTGCGCATGCACAGTTTGTCCAGGTACGATAGGCGCAATGGCCAGTGGACGTTGCATGCCGAAACCTGTCATAGGCTGCTCGTCAGGGGAGTCAGACGGCTGTGCATCGTCTGCCTGATTAATAAACAATAAAACACACAAATCACTGCTTAGGAACTGTGAAAAACGTATCTAAATGTGAACTTCAAACTTTTTTGTGTCACTCGATTGGTATCTTAAAGGGGTCATGTTAGGCTATTTGCTATCTTTTAAAAAATGTCTTGGCATTCCTGAAGTGACTTCCAAAAATTACGGTCCCTTTTTTTTATCTAAGACTAAATTTAGGCATTGAAACTGTTTCCTGTCTGCTGTTGCTAAGTATGGTAAGGATGGACAAGGGTTAAATTGGCGAACGTATTAACGTTTTAATGCTATCCTTGCAAAAAAACAACAAAAAATGATTGAGGTTAGTGCTTCCTGATGAAATTTTGTTTCATATCTTCTCCAGGAGTATTTTAGGAATGGGTAAAGGCACTAAGTACTGCCTAGGCACAGAATTGACCCAAGACAGCAATATTCACGTGACATATATCCAAATACACAGGATAGAAAACCAAAAAACTGGATGCCTCATTCATAGTTGTCACTAGCCTTTATTGGGATAGTAACACGTTAGATTATTAGGTATTTAAACACATGACAGACACAAAGTAAAGATGAATTATTTGCGGGTGTTTTTCCTTGTAACCCATCGGCTATTTTAGGAAAAGGAAGGATTGTTCAGGCCATGTCTTAAAGCAGCGATTTTTTAGAGTCACCTAAAAATACGCCTTTATAAAACTATAATATTGTACTTTCGTTACAGACTATATATAACGACATCAGAAATATCTTCTGTCACTTGTTGCTGATACATTTTTTTGTAAATATAAATTTCTGTAGAGACAGCCACCTTCCCCCCCCCCTTCCCCTTGCTCTGTGCATCAGCATATTTGACCAACTGACGATTCCATCACAGTTTTAAACTTAGCAGGGCTCTTTTATCGCAAAATAGACGTTTCTAGTCTCGCTGAGTGTTTGCTTTATTTCACTCACCTCTGTGTTAGTCATATCCTGGCCTCCCATAGTCCCTGCAGCATGCCCACCAATATGCATACCCCCCATGTGCATGCCATGTCCCATACCTCCCATCCCCATGGCTATTCCGGCACCTCCTATTCCCATTCCATTACCCACTCCTCCGATTCCATTACTCATTCCTCCCATTCCATTACCCATTCCTCCCATACCATTGCTCATTCCTGTCATTCCATTACTCATTCCTGCCATTGCGTTTCCCATACCACCTATCTCGTTTCCCATGCTATTTTCCATCCCTCCGAGGTCTTGCATCTCATTATCCATTGCGTTTCCCATTCCATTTCCCTGCTTATTTCCCATTCCCCCAAGATTAATCCCGAGTGATCCAAGGTCAAGATTTCCCATGTCCCCTTCCATGTTGTCGCTATTGTCGTTTACACGTGCCCCTCCACCTCCCATTCTCCCTCCACCAGCCCCTACCCCTCCTCCTCCACCAGTGTTCATTATTTGCCCTATGAGCTGCTGCAGGGAGCTATCAGACAAGCTGTTGCCTCCACCAAGGTCATTTAATCCATCCATGCCAAGATCCATTGCTGTTTGAATGTAATAACAAGTTTCAGTATTGAAAATGATGCCACCTTCCTGAAATTATACTTAAGATAGAAAGTTACTGAAACTTTTATGAAAGCGATGAAATTTGTAATGCTCAGAGTTGCTCCTAGATTGAGATACGTTGTCAAGTTCCAAATCCTTGAGTGCAAACTAATTAGTCATAGCGTTTTTCAAGGGACGATACCCTTTAATGGACCTTTTAAGCTTGTCTGTTCATTGCAAACCATGTGACGTTACCCAAGAGAATTGATTCTTTTAAATGACGCGCTCCACACCAGCATAATTATGTGTGCGTAACGAATGAAAAGGGCAACTTCTCTTAAGAACATCACGTGGTCTTAACTAGGAAAATAATGACCTAAAAGCCAAAAGAGGATAAAGGTGACAGAGAAGGCATCCCCCATACCGGCACCCTATTACATAGGTAATTCGTCTCGAGTTATTTTTAACACCACAACACCAACAACAGCAAATCTCAAGGGGGATTTGACAACAGCCGTCACATAGCGCGAATGTGTTCCGCGTGGATGACCCACGCTCAGACCCACGCGCCCTTCACGAATTGACGCAGAACAAAATAGCGGAAGATGCGGAGAGCGATATTGCTATTCCTCTTGTTGACGAGAACGACTACAGAGAGATTTCTGCTAACGCTGTGTCAGCGAAACGAAAATATAAAAGAATCAGCCTTCCTCTCTTGTATAGAGCTAACAGTACAGCAGGGAAATCCTTAACACACTGAATATTCCCTGACGATCATTTATAATTTACAGTCTGAAGAGAGTAATTTCTGGTTTGATATTCATTCTTTTATTAGTCTTTTATTATGCAGCAAAAATAATACTTGGCGTCCTACTTGCTTTATTGTACAAACGACCATTTTCAAAAGACCGGCGAAATTTCTCATTTTATTAAGGCACTGAGGTTACGACAACTTCCAGTTAAACTGATTTCGTGGGTTGTCAAGGAGTCCAGCGATTTCCTTTTCCCAGGTGAGCGCCGACTCATTTCGCTTCAATATTCAGAAATGCTCTCGATCTCTTTACGCTTTCATTACCTTTGGCCCGACATGTTTTGCACGGCGTTTAGTCATGTGAAACCTCCACGAAACATCCACGCAGCGCGCGAGGTAACTTTATTCCGATTCTAAAAATATCTCGGGACGAATTACCTATAGAATAGGGTGTGTATGGGGGATGCCTTCTCTGTCCCCTTTATCCTCTCTTGCTAAAAGCTAAAAAGGTCTATTAGGGTGGTAAAAATCTATCATTATCATAATNTCACGTGGTCTTAACTAGGAAAATAATGACCTAAAAGCCAAAAGAGGATAAAGGTGACAGAGAAGGCATCCCCCATACCGGCACCCTATTACATAGGTAATTCGTCTCGAGTTATTTTTAACACCACAACACCAACAACAGCAAATCTCAAGGGGGATTTGACAACAGCCGTCACATAGCGCGAATGTGTTCCGCGTGGATGACCCACGCTCAGACCCACGCGCCCTTCACGAATTGACGCAGAACAAAATAGCGGAAGATGCGGAGAGCGATATTGCTATTCCTCTTGTTGACGAGAACGACTACAGAGAGATTTCTGCTAACGCTGTGTCAGCGAAACGAAAATATAAAAGAATCAGCCTTCCTCTCTTGTATAGAGCTAACAGTACAGCAGGGAAATCCTTAACACACTGAATATTCCCTGACGATCATTTATAATTTACAGTCTGAAGAGAGTAATTTCTGGTTTGATATTCATTCTTTTATTAGTCTTTTATTATGCAGCAAAAATAATACTTGGCGTCCTACTTGCTTTATTGTACAAACGACCATTTTCAAAAGACCGGCGAAATTTCTCATTTTATTAAGGCACTGAGGTTACGACAACTTCCAGTTAAACTGATTTCGTGGGTTGTCAAGGAGTCCAGCGATTTCCTTTTCCCAGGTGAGCGCCGACTCATTTCGCTTCAATATTCAGAAATGCTCTCGATCTCTTTACGCTTTCATTACCTTTGGCCCGACATGTTTTGCACGGCGTTTAGTCATGTGAAACCTCCACGAAACATCCACGCAGCGCGCGAGGTAACTTTATTCCGATTCTAAAAATATCTCGGGACGAATTACCTATAGAATAGGGTGTGTATGGGGGATGCCTTCTCTGTCCCCTTTATCCTCTCTTGCTAAAAGCTAAAAAGGTCTATTAGGGTGGTAAAAATCTATCATTATCATAATAATCATAATTTTTAGTAAGGACGACACATTGAAAACCACTTTGGTCTAGTCAGCAGAATGTATTGGTGCAAAAGGTAGGGCCTACTTTGGCCTCGGATTTACCTTTCTTGCAATTTATCTGTTCTACTGTTCCGATTCATAAATTACTGCACAAAACGACTAAGGAGTTAATGAAAAAATTATGTGAACTTACATCCTCCAATTCCCTGTCTTCCTCCACCACCCACAGTAAGTTTCCCTTCCAAAGAGTTTTGCAGATTATTGTTCCCAGCATATTGTTGACTCTGTGCAGTTCCATCGAAAGAGTTAAGCCCGGCTAATCCAGTATTTGAATTCCTATTATTGTCCAAGATATCCAAATCACTGTTTTGGTATTGGTTTATGGAGTTTAAAGAATTTAAATCGGATGTTTCTCCTCCTCCAGCTAAATTCGATAAATAATTTACTCCCGTTTGGGATGTCAAGGAGCTAAGTCCTGCTGCAGAAAGGTCGCTTAATCCCAGAGAACTTTGGCTGTTGCTCGTACCGTAGTTTGTGCCAAAATTCTGCCGGGTATCTAAGACTCCCTCTGAACCCAAGGCATTTGTCCCGGTTGTAAGCATAGTTCCAATCCCAGCGCCGTAATTAGAGGCAAGACCTGTAGTCAGACCCGTCCCGTAACCCGTTCCGAGTCCCGCGCTATACGTGGCCGTTGGCGTCCCTGTTAACCCAAGTGCATAACCATTTCCAAGTCCTAAGCCACCCCAGTTTGCTACTATGAACTGTTTTTTCTTCTTTTTACTGTCTACTTGGTTTCTTGTCCAACGTGATTCTGGAGAAAGCGTTGCCTTTTTAATGGTGGGTCTAAGTCTGAACGATCTTCCCGTATGAGGAATACTCGTTTTCTTTGTTCTTTCATTTGACAAAGAAAACATGCTGTGTCTTAGTTGTGGTTTCCAATACAACCGAGATGCCGCGTTTTTATTATTGGCTAGAGATTTATGGGTATGGAAATCACCCTTCTTTGAGATACTTTTGAGATAGTTTTTATCCATGTAAGTTCCATGTGATGTCCAAGGAGAAACCCCATAACGACCCCAAGGATTAGCCTTTGGAAGTCTTTGTGTAACAGAATTATGCGGATAAGATTGAGTCTCGCTTTTGACCCTTGAAGATCTTTGGTAACTTGGACTTAGATACGGTCCATGTTGAGGTAGTGCAACTGCAAGAGAAAACATGAATGCGAATTTTAAATTCCTTTTTTTAAATGAACACTTAGGGACCGGTCATTATTTGTCGCCCTGAGGGGGGCGGAGGATTTGGGGGATCACACGATTTTCAAGAGAACAGAGATAATTGACAGGCACTAAGAGGGGACCAGGAAAAAAAAGGCGAAAATTATTTGAAGCGGTGGGATCAATTTATTACCTTTGCGATGATCTTGTTCAGACACGGACTAATATAACAAAATAGTCAGTGGTTGTGCGTATGTATTAAACGTGATGCTAAAAAGTGTTTAAGTTCTATAGTTAAAATGTCCACAAATTTCCTTGTTTTAAATTCTTTAGAGTTATTGAAATGTATCCCCGTAGTAAGAACGTTCGATAAACGTGGCGGTATACCGTCATTACAAATTACAACAACGGAAGTAAGAAATATATTCATGGTATATCAATATATCATTAGAGTGAAGCTTGTAAAACTTTTGAAAGTTTGGATTGCATCAAACACCTTTCCATCCTCGGAGACCCAGGGGCAGATAGTGGGGGCGAGGGAAAGTCTAAACGGGCGGAAAAATATTGCACGAAGAAAAGTAAAGAACGGCGAGAAGAGCCCCTGGGGACAATGTCTTACCAGACCAGTTCCAAACGGTCGCCGCTGTTCTGGCTTCTGATTGGTGGCAGAAAACTTGTGTTTTTTTGGCACGACTCAGAA